TTTCCCCACAGGGTCTTCCGTCTATAGGGGCAGCACAATTAATATTCTTGGGAAGCCCACTAAAAAATAATAAATAAATATGGAGTGTGTGCTTTATGAAGCGCTGTGCAACTCCTACAAGGATTTTAATCATCAAGAACTCTGCCCTGTACCCTGAGCACTGGGCAGGTGCTAGCCACATAGCATGGATGTATGTACACCAGGGGTAAACCATCCTGAAGTCCTGGGAAATAATTAGCAATGAAATATCCCTTCGGGTTCTTAAAACATTTGTGTGCAGTTCAACAGGAACCCTTAAAGATTTGCTTTTCTTACTATTTTAAATTGTGTGTGTATGCGTATGCATGTACGAGTGCAGGTGCTATGGAGAGGGGCAGAGAGGGAATCTGCAGGGACAGGTGTTTGAGGACCACACAACATGGGTGCCGGGTACTGAACTTGAGTCTCTGCAAGAGCAGCCTTCATTCCCCACCTCTGGGCCACCTCCAGCCTAACAAGGAGCTTTTAGGCCCTGTCATTTACATTATGATGTCAGCATGTCCCTTGAGGGTTCAGGGGGGGAATTTTTTTTTTTTTGAAACAGGGTTTCTCCGTAGCTTTTTGGTTCCCGTCCTGAAACTAGCTCTTCTAGACCAGGTTGGCCTCGAACTCACAGAGATCCTCCTGCCTCTGCCTCCCGAGTGCTGGGATTAAAGGTGTGCGCCACCACCGCCCGGCCAGGGGGAGAAATTTTATCCCATAGTGAGGCATTAAGAGAATAGGAAATTAATTCAACTACATAAATAGCTGTTAATTATTAAATAAAGTAATGTTTACTATTTTATCTAATATTTTTACTTAACATTTTTGATACAGGACTCAATTGGGCCTCAAATTCTCTATGTAGCCAATGCTGGTCTTGAACTTCTTCCTTTTTTAAATTTTATTTTAAATTTTTTAAATTTATTTTACATATTAACCACAGTTTCCCTTCCTTTCCTTCCTCCACTCCCATCCCCTCCCCTGCAACTCCCTTCTACCCCCTTTTCCAACCTCTCCTCCATTCAGAAAGGGAAGGCCTCCCATGGGCTTGAACAAAGTATAGCACATCAAGTTGAGGTAGCACTGAGCTCTTCCCCCTGCATAAAGGCTGGGCAAGGTAATCCAGCATGGGGAACGGTTCCCCAAAAGCCAGCTAAGGGCCAGGGCCAGGTCCTGATCTCACTGCTAGGAGCCTTACAAACATACCAAGCTACACAATGGTCACACGCACGCAGAGGGCCTAGGTCGGGCCCTGAACTTCTTAGTCTTTCTGCCACCACCATCCCAGTGCTGGAAGGGCAACCTAAGCACCACTAGCCTGACTTCAACGATGGTGTTTAAAAATGGGGCCTTTCAGGGGAGATTAAGCATAAAATTATGCAAGTGGAGCCCCCATGGTAGAAGACTGGCTAGCCTTAGAAGGGGAAGAGATGAAAATGGAATACGTACACACATGTGTTCCTTATCCCTTGCCATGTGACAACCCTCTCTGTTCCACATCACCAGCAAAAGGTCATCAGATGTGGCCTCTCAACACTGCTTCAACTCGGAACCAAAATAAACTTCTTTTCTTGATCAAGTAACCTCCTAGTCTGTACAGAAAAGATATCCTCTCTTTCTTAATTGCTTAGCCAGTCTCTCTATGTCCATTCGGCCAACTTGCATAGTGTCTATGGCTGCTTTCATGTCACTTTGTCACAGGAAAGTAGCTGTGCTGAAGGAATAGGTAGCAGCATAGGAAACCTTTATATGCCTTTAGGAAATATCTTTTCCACCAGTGCTGAGAGTTTCAGACCAGGGACTCACACACGCTGGCCAAGGACCCGACTACTAAGCTACCCCTAGTGAATGCCTTTTTACAAAGCACATTGATCACTTGTCTCTTTAGTGTGTGTGTGTGTGTGAGAGAGAGAGGTGTGTGTGTGTGTGAGAGAGAGGTAGAGATGTGTGTGTGTGAGAGAGAGAGAGGTATGTATGTGTGTGTGTGTGAGAGAGAGAGAGAGAGAGGTGTGTGTGTGTGTGTGTGGGAGAGAGGTGTGTGTGTGTGAGAGGTGTGTGTGTGTGAGAGAGAGAGAGGTGTGTGTGTGTGTGAGAGAGAGAGAGGTGTGTGTGTGTGAGAGAGAGAGGTGTGTGTGTGTGTGTGTGAGAGAGAGAGAGGTGTGTGTGTGTGAGAGAGAGGTGTGTGTGTGTGAGAGAGAGGTGTGTGTGTGTGTGAGAGAGAGAGGTGTGTGTGTGTGAGAGAGAGAGAGGTGTGTGTGTGTGTGTGTGTGTGTGAGAGAGAGAGAGAGAGAGAGAGAGAGAGGTGTGAATTCTTGACTGTGGCTTGACTCCTACTTACGGAGGTCAGGGGGCAACTTGATAAAGTTAAATCTCTCCTTCTTTCCAAATATATATTTTTTAGATTTAGTTCTTTTTATGTGTTTTGTCTGCCTGTATGTGTCTGTACCACATGTGTGTCTGGTGCCCAAGGAGGTCAGAAAGGGGCATCAAATATCTTGGAACTGGAGTTAGAGATGGTTGTGAGCTGCCTTAGGGCGCTGGGAACTGAACCTAGGTCCTCTGCAAGAACAAGAAGTGCTCTCAACCACAGAGCCAGCTCTTCATCCCTGCGCTCTCCCCTTCTGAGAATCAAACTCAGGTTACCAAGCTTGGAAGTCGGGGCCTTTACCTGCGGAGTCATCACACCAGCCCTGGGTATCTTTTCAGTGTGCTATACACACTGATCAGTGTTAAATCAATCAAACATTTATTCTATTATGCATGATTCAGGGTTCTTAGATCATTTAAACTCATTTAGCCTTTCCCACGCATACCATGCTATTATAGTCAGGACTGTGGCTGTTTGTTTGTTTGTTTTGTATAGCCTCGCCCACCCTAAAACTCTCTGTAGACCAGGCTGGCTTTGAACTCAGGGATCCTCCTGCTTCTGCATCTGAGTGCTGGGATTAAATCATGCACCACCACTGCCTGGCAGGAATTCTACTTTTTATTTTGGAGTAATCACAAAAGCTGTAATAAATGTATAGTAAACCCCATTTACCCTTGCTCCTCTATCCTTAACACCTTCCTTAACAGAAGTAGAGACAGCAGGACAGCAGGACAAGTGAGACAAACAGACTGCCAGGAGAGGGAAGAGGAAGAAACAGAGTGTAGGAGTCAAAGAAAGATGGAACCTAAGGAGACACGTGAGATTGGAAGGACATAAAGACAGACAGACTAAGAGACCTGACCCTAGCTGCTTGGCTGTTTCTTTATTCATTCACCAAATGGCGGCTACATTAAAGACCATGCCAGTGCAGGCACTGGCGATGAAGACGGCTACTTAGTCTTCCTCTCAAACTAGAACACAATGGCATAGTGGGGACAAGGCAGGGGAACATGGGGAACGCGATGGCCTCTGCTGTGGAGTCCAGGCTGAGTAGGCACAGCGCATCCTGAAGCAGACGACAATCTGAGAATCCCTTTCAACAGACATTGCTTCTGTCCAGGTTCCCGCTGCAGTTCAGAACTTGGCTAGGGCAGAGCTCACAGAGAAAGGAAGAAGATGCAACTGGGCCTGGCGGTGGTGGCGCACGCCTTTAATCCCAGTACTCGGGAGGCAGAAACAGGAGGATCTCAGTGAGTTCGAGGCCAGCCTGGTCTACAAGAGCTAGTTCCAAGACAGGAACCAAAAGCTACAGAGAAACCCTGTCTTGAAAAAACAAAACAACAACAAAAAAAAAAAACAAAGATGCAACTGGCCAGGGGACCTACCTGTCGTAGCTTCCTAGCACGACAGACTAGACTCCAGGATTTTCTGCAGCTGTGGTGAATTCATGCTCCTGAGGATTACGGCTGTAGTCGAAAGTCTGTAGCATGTGGCCTTCCTTACAATAGGCCACAATCCTCCGATCACAGCCTGCTGCCACGATGCTGTTGGTTGTCCAAGCCAAGGCATACGTTGGACATGGGTGGTTAACCAACTTCCCCTGGGACAGACAGAATATTTCAATTGTTCATTGAGAATGCTAGGCTAGCAGTTGATCCACACACTCTTGACCATCCCACCACGGAGAGAAAGAGAGCCTTCCTGCCAGCATTTCCCACATCAACACGCCCGAATTCTGAAGGCTTCACAGCCTGTCTCTGTATCATGAGCACACGCATGCCATGTGTACACGGGCCGTGTACTCACAGTGGTGTGTTGAGACCTCTGGTACGTACTAGTAAAGCCACCCAAAGAGAGATGACACACAGTAACCAACACTGTCTAGGTCCAAGAGAGTACATGGCTTCAAGAAGGGCTAAATTGAATTATGTGGGTAACTCACAATGTAAACGATTCCACAGTACTAAATTATACAGAGAAAAACAGCAAAGTTTCCCTGTATGTCTATCTTTTCTTTTTCCAAGAAAATAGTTAATTCTTTAACATCTCATTTATTTGTGTGTGTTTTTGTTTTGCATATGTGCACACATGGTCGAAGGGCAGAGGATGACTTGCGGAAGTCACTTCTGTCCTTGCATGGCAAGGGTCCTGTCAGGTTTGGCACTGGGCACCTTTACCTGCTGAGGTATCTTGATGGGCTGTTAACTTTTTTCTTCTATGCATTTAGATGTATATACATTACATAAACATGTATATATATGCATATACATACATTTGTGTATATGTATATATTTACATAAATGGAAATAATTTTCACTTTTTGTCCCCCTTAGAGTCTTTATTTCCCTTCTTTCAAGGTCCCTTCCGCCCACTCCTCCCTATAAATAGTGAGTTCTAGCCTCCTGAACACCAGTCTCCGTGATGGCACCAAACGTTTCTCTCCAAGATCGCCCTTTTCCAGTGATGGTGCTTAAACCTGCAGCTTCCCCGGGAGGGCTCCTGGAATGTCCACCCCACCCCAGAGTGAGTGTGCGCCCTTTATACCTGTGACCCTCCGGAGCCTTCATCATCGAACAAATACCTGACGATGGTGCCGTCGGCGTGACCTGAGAGGATGCCTTTCCCAGAGCAACTGAAGGGCAGAGGCAGAGAGGTGGGCACAGAGGGAGGGACTTCCGCCCCGTGACAGTCCCCTTTCCATCAAATGCAGCTTTGTCCTGACAGTCCCAGTCTACTTCTGTTACTCACTTGGTTGTCAGCGCCACCACATACGAGTCCGTCCCATAGATGGTAGACGACTTGTTAGTTTTAGTGTTTGCTTATCGAACCTGAAAACCAAACAAGTCTGGCTAGGCTACTTACAGTGTCAGCCAGGCACGGAGAAACAGAAGTAAAAATGCCAAATGACAAAATTAGTCCTCATGCATTTTTCTCAAGTATGCACTTGAGCTCCAGGGGAAAGATGAACCATATTGCCAGGCACCCCAGGACACTATCCCCCCCTAATACCTCACCTGTGTCTCCCTCTCCTCCGTTACCTTGCCTTCAGCCAGTCCGAAGACAATAATGTACTCTGCAGGCCACTGTAGACAGGTGACAGCACTCTGTATGAGAAGGGGTGAAAGGGTGACCCGCCTGTGTGGACTGGCACACACCGTCATTCTAGTCCTCTCCAGGGGGAAAAGGCAGGCAGCGGACACAACAAGGCTCTCAAGCAGGTGACAACACCATCCTTTAGCAGGTCAAGTCGGGGTCAGACATTGAAAAAGGCAACTCCTGTTACATTTACAAGGAGGGAAGCAGGTGCGGCTCACCTCTGAACTTTACCGTCTGGATGAACTTGTTACAGATGACCTTGTCACCCCTGTCAGACAAAAGGCAAGGAAGCAACCTTAAAAATCACTTCTCAATGAGCTGCCCAACATGGCCCTCTGTGGGAGGTCTGATGGAGAAGTGAGTGGGTCCCCAAGGAGCCCTGGAGCTATGCCAATGACACAGCATATCACTGGCTCTCGGGACCTTCTGCTGGCTTACACTCATCCCTCCAGGGATGGGACTGCAGGACAGGTGGGGCAGGCAGAGGTGGACACAATAGAATCAGGCTCTAGAGAGTCCCTGCCTTCCATGCCTGATGCCATCGTTATCCCAGCGAGGTATTTCCCATGCCCAACTCTTCTTTAGTGGCCACAACCCGCCTAACCCCCATCCTGTCCTCACCAATCTTCTCCAATCTTGTAGGCATAGATGATGTTGTCAGTCTGTCCGATGGCAATTTTAGTGGAATCAGGGGAGAAAGTCATGCCCTTTACCATGTAGTTCTTCCAGCCACACTAGGAGTAAAAACAAAGATAATGAGTAGAAATGAAGGAGAAAAGAAAACACACACATTTCCCAAAAGACCGGAAAATTTATAGCGAGAAATAGAGTAGACTATTGCCCATGTCTATGGCTAGAAGGCAGATCACACAGCTTTCTCAGATAACGTGTTGGAGCACATGCGAGTCCTCTCTACCTTCATGTCAGCTGGCTTGGTGGAGAACTTGTCTCTCCGCTCCCCATGCTCATCGTACAGCAATACCACTCGGTCCACTGTGCAGACAGCAAATTTAGCGTTGTTCTGGGACCAGGCCATACAAGTCACCTTCGCAGCTCCATCCTGCAGAGGCAAAGGGGTACTGTAAACACAGCGCTGGTCTCCAGAGTACAGAGCGTCTCCAGGTCCATCAGTCTTCGTGTGCCTTTGTTCTACATCTATGTCACAGGTTTTCTCTCAAAACTAAACAAAATGAGACAAATTGCTCGGATACCTGAACTGTAAGAATAATAGTCTCCAGGGCCTCACGTGGCCCAGACGGACCTCAGATTCACTGTACGGTAGGGATGACTTGAACTTCTGATCCTCCTGTCTCTACCTCCTGAGTGCTAGGATTCCAGGCGTACACCACCCTGTCTAGTTTATCCCATGCCGGGGACAGGACTCAGGGCTTCACTCGAGACAAGCAAACACTGTACTACCAGGCCACATCTCCTTGTCCCCTAATGTGTTTTTCTGAGACTCATGATACAAATGTAATGCATCAACCGTTCCAAAAGCAATGGCCTCCTTGTTCCTTCATCTTTCAGGTCTGCGACTGAAAAAAAAATCAATTAATCTGATAAATTTTAGCCTTTATAGCTACTCATTCAATTAATGTTTTCCAGCACTTTACTGTCAAAGACACTTGGCTGGAAGACGACAGAGAGACAAAGAGCAAAGCACAGATCCTACCCTAGGTTCTAATTGGACGCTGAGAAATTGGAAATGTCCCATAAGAAAAATATGTTCTGAGTATAGTAATAATTTAGAGAAGTACAAGACAATTTTATGCTTAAATGGTCAAGATTAAACTTTGAAGAAGGGATGCCATCGAATGGTAAATTACTTCAGATGTAATGAGTAGCATGAACAAAGTCAAGCTCTGGCCAAGGACCAGCAATTTAAGGAAGTTGAGACTGCCAACAAGAGAGGAGGCAGGGCAGGAAGCGTAGACTGGGTTAGCTCAGGAAGCGTAGACTGGGCTAGCTCAGGAAGCATAGACTGGGCTAGCTCAGGAAGGGCCTCTGGAGGCCGCTAACGATTTGGATTTATTGGGCAGGAATACAGAGACAGTGTAAGTTTGGAAACAAGGAGCAACAGAATTAGAATTGAGACTTGGGATAAACAATGTCACTTTCCCCTGTTAACTGTCCACTAAAGGTTCGTGGTGAAAGTGACCACTGCAAAAACGGATACAGCCCAGATAATGGGGCGCTTGTCTGGCATTCATCAGTCCCCAGGTGTGAGCCTTCGCACTGCACAAGAGTAAGCAAAGAAATAAAAAGAATATGGGAATGGCAGGTAAGACGGCACACGCCTGAAATCTCAACACCTGGGAGGGGAAGGCAGGACGGTCAGACATTCAAAGTCCTCCACAATTACACAGCGAGTTTGAAGTCAGCCTGAGCTATATGAGACCCTGACTTAAAAAAGAAAAACCAAAAAAGAAAATACGTGATCACCACACAGTGAATTACTCTGCGTGTCCCTCGCCAGCTGTCCTCTCAGGCTCCTGAGATGAAATTTGGCTCCTACGCCAAATGTTGGATTCACCACTTGGGCTACTAGAGGTCTGACTTACAACACCTTTACTTTCTACACCTAACCCAAATACGTCCAGAGCCAGCAGGGGGATCACTGCCCCCAAATCCTCAAACTACAACCTGAAAATAGCGGCACCACCACCATGGTCATGAGCCAACCATTCACTACCATCGGCTAGAAGGGGGTGCAGGCGCCTCATCAGCTTTGGCTGCTCATCCTCCTTCAAGGCTGTCCATCCTGGGCATCTGGTCCAGCTGCACCATGACATCATCTTTTTTTAGAGACCAAAGGGTTCTATTTCCAATTTTTCCATTAGGGTATTTTGAAGTGACAGATAACAGTACCAGTTTACTGAGCAAGGAGTACAACTTTTTATTGTTCTACCACCGAGTGAGGGCTCGATCCCTTCAGCTTTCCTTTCTTCTAACCGACTTCTGCTCTCCTTACACAGTGCAAACATCCCCAAGACCCACAATCGATGGGGACGCGTTTCTCTGCAATACGTGCCTGACTGGACTGCCTGGGGGTTGAGTGGAATGGAAAGTAGAACAGGCATTTTCATAACTGCTTGACACGCAGTCGGTACCTCACCTCGTATCTCTGAGGCAGAAGCTATTATGATTCCCATTTTACATATGGGGAAATTGAGGCACTGAAAATTAAGAAAGCTGCTCAGTCACACATACAGTTTTTAGATGACAGATGCAATATTTGAATCCATGTATGTTTGATTCCACAAGCTATAACTCTGTCTTTATGCTGTTGTGGCATATGTATTAATGACTTAATTCTGCCATATACTTTTTTTTTTCAGAATAGGAAAATTTATTACTGTGCTTCCACTGTCAAAATTTAGGATCTTGGTCTTTCCTTCTTGCCTTTGTACAGGGCCAAAAGGGACATGTTGGCTACTTTAACAACCTTAAAGTAGACTCCAAGGAATATCACCTACAGCATGACCCTTTCTACCAAATCCAGCAACCAGAACTTCATCGTTTTCCTCAATGAAGTTCAAGCAACCATCATTGGGGACGAAAGCTGTGATCTTCTTGCTGTTCTTGATGAGCTGCACCCTGACACACTTCCAGATAGCAGAATTTGGCTGCTTGGCTTCAACTCCTACTTTTTCCAGCACGATTCTCTTGGCATGAGAGGCACCTCCAAAAGGATTGGCCTTCAGGGCTGTGCCCAAGTGGGCTTTCATGTATTGTTTTTCATGCCACTTCTGGTCCCGGTGGGCTGCGGAGCTTCCTGGCAGTACGGAGACCACGACACTTGCTCATCTTGCCGATGCCACAGGCCCGAGAGAAAGAGCTCTGCCATATACTTTTATTTACTGTTGCCATTATTATTATTATTATTATTGAGACAGGGTCTCTCTATGTAGTCCTCTATCTCGTTTTGCAGACACCATGCCTGGCTATTCTTTTTTTTAATTAATTAAATTTATTTATTTTGCATCCTGATTGCACTTTTCCCTCCTCACTGTCCTTCCATTCACCTCCCCCCCCCACACACACACAATCCACTCCTCTTCTATTTCTATTCAGAGACGGGCGGGCCTCCCATGGGCGGCAACAAAGCACGGCATATCTAGTTGAGGTAGGACTACACCCTACTTCTCCAGGAAACTCTAAAAGTCACACATTATTCTTATGTTTTAAAAGGAGGTCTTGGCTCTGTAGTCAGGCTGGCTTTGAGCACACAGCAAGCCTCCCAAATTCTGCGATTACAGGCAGGCAGCACCATGATCAGGTAACAGATTTCTTTTTGTAGTACTCGGGACGCATGCAGAGGCTCACGCATGCCAAGCACATGCTCTAGTACTCAGCAATATCCTCTGCAAGTAGCATATTCTTTTTATATGTTGGGGGCCAATGTGCCTGTTTGGGTGTGCATGCAGAGGCCAGAGGTCAACATCAAGGGTTTTCCTCAATTGCTCTTCACTTTGTTCTTTTGAGACAGGGTCTCTCCTCTCACTGAACCTGGGGCTCATGAATCTGGCCAGCGAGCTCTAGGGACCCCCTTGTCTCTGCCTCTTCAGCACTGCGATTACAGGTGTGCCTAGCTTTCAAGTGGATGCCGGAGAGCTCGTGCTGATGAAGAGCCGTCTCCCCCACAGCCAGCCTTATTTGTGTTGTTAGCCTGTCCTCTCCATTTCCATGTCCTTCCCTGTGGTCTATCATTCTTCATACAGCTGTCCAATTCATAATGCCCTTTCCATTTGTCCCTTACACCTCCACGACACAAGGCAGCAACAGGAGGTCCAGGAAGAGTCCCGGTGAGGCCCCAGTGTTGGTAGTGTAGCCGAGACCAATGATTCTCTGCGATGAACCCACACATGTAAAGATGTATGGACAAAGGAGTATACCGTGTGACTCTCTGTGCCACACTGCAGCTTCCCTGACGAGATTTCCCCTTTCGTCCTTTTTTCTGTTTTTCCTTTTTTATCTTAAATTTTATTTGTGTGTGTGGGGGGGGAGGTTGCAGGGGCAGAGGCTGGATGCAAGGGAACGGGAAATGGGTGAGATCGGGATGCATGATGTGAAAGACACAAAGAATAAATAAAAAAAAAAGAAAGTTAAAAGAATTTCTCCTTACATTTATTTATTGTGAGTGGTGGGACGGTGCCTGTGTGGCGGTCAGAGAACAACTTGCATGAATTGACTCATTCCTTCCCGTGTGTGGGTCTCAGGGCTCACTCAGGGAGTCAGGCTTAGTGGTAAGTGCCTTTATCCACTGAACCATCTCACTGGCCCAATTTTTCTTTTCTTTTTTCAAGATAGTCTCATGCAGCCCAGGCTGGCCTTGAATTGTCTATACAGCCAAGAATGCACTCCTGACCCTCTTGTCTTCACTTCCCAATTGCTAGGATTTTCGGCCTTTGGCGCCACCGAACCATGTTTATAGTGTGTGTGTGTGTGTGTGTGTGTGTGTGTGTGTGTGTGGTGTGTCGTGTGTGTGTGTATATGTTGAACTTTACTTAACTCTCTCCTAAGGTTCTTGGAGTTGCTCTCACTATGGCTTTTCTTTCCCAAATGACGAAGTTAATGACAGAAAGGCCACATATGATGAGGGTTAAAGCCAGAGATACCTTCTGGTCAAGTCAGTGCTAAACCTGAACTCAGATCCCTTCACTCCCAAACCTATCCTTCATGTTTTTGGGCTCCTCTCCTAGAGCCCAGCCGCTTCTGAATCTGCGACACACTTTCACAATTCAAATGAAGCGTCAGCCTTGCGCTTATTTCATCCTGTGTAGATTTATGCTCGTTGTCTAGATATGCGCCTCTCCCTCATAGCCTGTGACGTAACTCGACCCCTAGAGCCTAAGCTTGGGGCCTGGCACTCAAATGCTGTATGCGGTGCCATCAAAGTTTGCGGTCTTTAGCAATTCACGTCTCCTACTGAAAGATCTTTCACAATCTTCTGCACACAGCAGGCGCTCAACATTATAAACTTCTGTTACCCCACTTTTTTTTCTTTTGGAACGCCCGGTAGCCGGGGAATGGGAGTCAAGCGATTCCTCACCTGAGGGCTCAGCAGGGTCCTCAGGTGCTTCAACAGCATGACGCAGGTCTCGGATGGTCGTTGACCAAGACAACTCCCGCGGTTACCTGGACAACCCACCAAGCAGCGACGGCGTCAGCCACAGACGCACAGGCAACGTGAGTGCGACACAGGTCATAAGGTCACGTAGTGGGTTCGCGACCACGCAAAAGGGTCGTGCGCAAGCGCAGTGAATCCTAGGGCGGGCACATAAGAGGAGGTCGTCGAAGTCTATCCTCGACCAATCCCGTACTTGCATGCGAACTCAACGCAAAGCCCCACCCGCAAGTCTTCGTCTGTCCCCACCCTCCCCAACCCCGCCCCTAGATCCTCTATCACTTTAACCCCAGCTTTTCTCATTGCTGTAACCGGCCAAGTGTGCTTTAGTTGCTTTAACTCTGGAGAAGCACAAGGCAGGTGCTACGAGAGCGAAAGCCAGTTCGCAGAACTGCAGCCTCCGCTTTCCCCGCCAAAAGATCTGTGACTTGCGCGAGGCCACTCAATACTGATAGGTACCAGTGAATGCTCAAGGATATACCTGTTTTTTTTTTAAATTTATTTTTTATTATTGAGAAAAGGAGAAAAAAAAACAAGTTTCCACCTCCTCCCAGCCTCCCATTTCCCTCCCCCTCCTCCCACCCTTCTCCCCCTCCTCCCACCCTTCTTCCCCTCCCCCCACTCCTCTCCCCCTCCCTCTCCAGTCCAGAGAGCAGTCCGGTTCCCTGCCCTGTGGTAAGTCCTAGGTCCTCCCCCCTCCGTCCATGTCTAGGAAGGTGAACATCCAAACTGGCTAGGCTCCCACAAAGCCAGCACATTAAGTAGGATCAAAACCCCGTGCCATTGTCCTTGGGGTCTCATCAGCCCTCATTGTTCGCCATGTTCAGAGAGTCCAGTTATACCTGTTTGAAGTGGGCAGAGGTACAGTCCCATTTTACACAACAGGAGGGGGTCACACGCCAAAGTTGAAACGGCTAATAAACGGTGGAACCGGGATTCAACCCAGAGCTGATAACCTTTTAATTCCCGTGAGACGATTCAAGTCTTCTCAACTCGTTGTCTCTTTGTTCAACTTCTCTAACCTGTAACACGGTCTCAGGAAATGATCGGGGTTTGGTAGTACTGGCTAGGGAAAGGCAAGGCACCCTGTTTGGTCATTGGGTAAACGGGTGAGTTCAATGCTGCTTGCCGAAATCCAGATGTCTTTATGGGTCAGTGCAGTGGACAGAGCTGGGCTGGCCTCCTAGCTTAGAGCTGTGTGACACCTGGGGCTGGGGATTGACTAAGAAAAGATACTATTGTCTTTATTTTGTTTGATTGGAATGCTCTCAAGTATTTTTGTTATCAGATAGATTGACTGAAATTCAGAAAAGAAGGCCTTCTCTCTCTAAACGGTCCCAGGTTGGCAAGACTTATACCACCCAAAAAGCATAGCATATGATCTCCAGACCGAAGCTGGGTCCCAAAACCTTGCATGCACAGCGGTTGCCAATGGCAACGAATATTTCTCTCCCCACCACTACCTCCCTCTTGAAAAATTAAGAACGAGTAGAGGGCAGTTCCTATTTTTCACAGATAACACAAATAGGTCCCAGAACCCAGATTATAATTTTTTTCTATAGGGGCACCCAAACCCCTTTGTTTTATTTCTAGAATGCTCTGGATATGGTACAGAGTATAAATGTAAATGCCTTTGTGGATTACAATTATTAACGTTAAACAAACAGAGACATAGATGAAAGAGAAAACGGAGAGGAGGCACTGGTATGCACAGGGTGAGGATACATGGCACCAAGGGACACATCCGTGATAGCTGCTCTTTGGCTAGCCCCCCCATGACCCTGCTCAGTCCTTCTGACCATTTTCCCAGAGGGAATGGTGGAGTTGAAAGAATGGGGAGGGGGTCGGTTATGTAACCCAGTGGTAGAGCATTTGCCTGGTATGCACAAGGCCCTTTACAAAGATGAAAGAAAATCTACTGGCCCTTTTATGGTGACATGGCCTGGTTTCCATTGGTGCAAAAACTTCCGTGTCTTCTCATTGCACCCCTCCCCCACATTTCAACAAAGCCAAAGAAAGGAGGCTTCTAGCTTCTGTACCCTTTCCTTGTCTTTTCTCCACCCGTCTTAGACGAAAACACGGACACAAACATCCTATAATGGGTCTGTTCCTTTAAGTTGGTGGTGGCGTGAGGGGCCCTTGGAGAGCTGAGAAGGTGTAGAGATGTCTTCAGCATACCATACAGTCACTTCTGGTTTGTCCAAGAACCTTTATTGGAAAAATGTCCCAGGGGTGAGATCACCAGCAGCGAGAGGGACTGCCAGGTGAGGGGGGAGCACCTGAGGCTCCATGGAAGACATTGGAGTAGTGCAGTGTGGCATCTGCCTCGAGGCCCAGATGCTTGCTTCCTCTTCCTCCGTGGAAGAGGGCAATACAGACAGAAACAGCCCTCTCTGAGGCCCAGAGGCAAGCTGTAGGGGCAGCTAGTGGATGCCAATGGTCCTGATGCAGGTGAGATGGGGCCCCATTTGGGACCTAGTGGGATAGGGTCGAATAAATGACTCACCTGGACCTGGGAGATAGGAGATGTTCCATTTGATATCCACTCCCAGGTCCAGGGGTACAGATTCTAACAGACCTACCTTCTGGCCCTGCTCACAGTGGAAAGAGGATGGGTACCAGCCTGGGATTCTGGGAGTGCACAGCCTTGTGGGAGTCTCAGAGAGATCACCAATTTAGGCTTCCCTGACCCCACCCCCCATTATCAGTGCATCTCTCTTCTGGTTCTGGTTCTTCAGTCACTCAGTTCACTCAAACATCGATGGTGTTGATAGAAGGAGACTTTTTCTATGAGAGAAGATTACCCAAATCTGAAATTTCAGACAGGTAAAGGTGCTGCTCCCGCCTTCTGGACTCCTTCATCCCAGACATCCCATTCCCGCCCCACCCCCCTTTGCTGCCTGTTCTGCTTTTCACTGAATACTCCTGGGCACCCAGATCACCCTTCTCACACTCACTGGTCCCCACGTCACCTGTCTTGTCCCCACTGGCCTTCCCTGAGGACTCTGTTCAGGACCCTTCCCCTTCTCCTTGGGGTTGTTGTTGGAGTCGTTGTCCTTGATGATGTCATACTGACCGCAGAATAGCCCGATCACAGCTGAAACACAACAATACCATCTGAGCCTTGATCTTGACCTCTCATTCACAGCCTTGAGGCTGTAACAGCCTCACGACTTCTAGAAAATCCTGGAATTCCTGGGGCCCATACAACCATCATCCCTGGCCATGCAATAGCCTTCTCTCTTTCTCCCCAAACTTGTCCTGATTACCTCCCTCCACCAGCCATTCCCCCCCCACACTCCTTTTCTCTCCTTTTTCTCCTGACGGGTAACCTTCACCACTTCCCACTATCATGGACCCAAGTCCCTGGCTCCCCATCCGGTACTCACCAGCCCACATGAGCAACACCACCACGATGATGACCACTTCCCCGGTCCTGATCTGCACGGTGTAGTCACTGTCTTCAGCCAGGGCCCAAAGAGCACAGGCCCTAGTGGTGGTGTTCACCTCCCTGATTACATGCTGCCCAGAGGGCCTTTCTGTCGCTGCAAGAAGATGTAGAGAAAGGAGAACAACCTAGGCCCGGTCCCTGACCATGAGGCTTAACTCGGGATTCTGTAACATCCAAACACTCCAAAGGAGTAATGTGCAGGGGTGTTCAGAGACCCAAGGGCACAGGTTGGGGAAACAGGGTGATTGGTACTTGCTGGGAAATGGAGTAGCCAATGACGATGTTGCCTTCTGGGACGTCCCAGGACACAGTGGCCGAGTTGGCTCTGAGATGAGTGACCGTCACATTCACAGGAGAGGGAGGTCGGTCTGGGGGTGCCAGGGTGTTAACAGGTTAAGAAGTTTCACTTCCACACTAGCTCTGAAGGACCCCCACTGCGGGCGTCCTCTTCACTCACCTGCTTGCACAAAGCCCAGGTCACAGCTGACCAGCAGGAGGACCTTGGGACTCAGATATGGGGAAAGAGGCATCAAAGAAGCCATGGTTTCCACCGAGTTAGCCGAGGGGCCCGGAGGCATCCGCTTAACATCCAGGCGGGGATCCTGGAAGAGGCAGGAGTTGTGGGGGTCAGGAGCTGTCCAGAACGCAAGCGGGATGCAGCAGCTCTCCCAGGCTTCCCATGGCCCATAGCCCATTTTCCCCGCTCCTTTCCCTCCTCCGCATAACCCTGGTGCCCACCCCAGCCCCCACCCGCGCAGTCGGATCAGCCCACACTCACCTGCCGGGTCCTCGTGGTCGGTCAGGCCTCGGGGGGTTGTTCGGTGCCTAGGGGGCGGCCCATCGCCGGACTGGCGCTGGCCCTACCCCATCCCGACGCGGGCCCGCCTAGGCGGGCAGCGCCGGCCGAGCTGCGGGCAGAGAGGGCAGAGGCGGAGTGGCCGCGGGCCGCGAGTCTGCGGGGCCCCCAGCGTTCCCGAGGGCCACGCATAGTCTGTCTCGGAGCAGAGGGCGTTGCCGGCGAGGCCTGGCAGCTGGCCTGTGTCCCCGGTGCAGAGGACAGTGCGGCCGCCGAGGCTGGTCCCCTGCAGCGGGATGTGACCGTCCGGGCCAGCCAGCCGCCTCCTTCTGCAGAGCTGGCCACGCGCGCTCCGCTGCAGCCCGGCTGGAACGTGCGGGCCCGCCCCATCCCGCCCCGCCCTGCTCCGCTAGGGTTCCCGTCGCCATCATCCTACCCCCCCCCCCCCCCCCATTACCTACCCGCCAGCCTTGTTCTCTCGGGGCTCCTCCCATGACCCTCCCAATGGCGGCCTGCTGGGCCCCTATTCCTTCATCCTTCCTGCTCTAGTAGATGAACTGACTGGGGTACCCGGACAGGTGCAGATGCGAGGGTCTAGTGCACCTGAAAAATCCCCTCCTTCCCGGCATGAAATTAGCCAAGTTGAGAGGACGCATTCCATCTCCGAAAGCAGGAGGGGGCTGAGAGGAGAGGAGACAGACTGGTGAAGATGATAATTGTTTTAACAATCTCTTGGAGACTGCGTCAGCCTTTAAGTCTCTTTCCCATTCATGATCTGATTGGATTCCATTCGCTTTCTC